AAGAGCAAAACACCAGACCAGGAGAGTTTCCTTTTTGCTGAATAGCTCAATAGATGACTTTCACATTTTTAAATTCGCAGATGAGAGGTATGTAGTTTGATTCAGTCCAAACAACAAGACCCTCGGAGACCCTCGCCATTAGGATCGTCTGTTGTATAGCCCCAATGACTTTGATGACTTAAACCATTTAATTCTATAAGTTCTAAGCACCATGAAACTTTGACGGTTGAATCACTAACATTGATTGTTGGTAGCTTGAATGTTGATGGAGTTTGAGCAATGTATGAGAGACCTCTGTGTTTGGAGGTTTATAAACATTAACGGTAGTGTCAGTTCTTCATAGCTGCCGTTGTGAGCAAAAAAGACTCGTCAATATCCTCGGAACAGAAATAGCGATACCATATGGTCTGTTCAAGATTTCATATAAGACGATTTCTTGGGATATTACTTCTTGCACTCTCTGCAATGACTTCAATGAGGATTCTTTCAGGCAAGAGTGTCTATTTTCTATTGAAAGAAAATTCTACTTCAGATTTGGCTTTTCTCAAGCCCTTAATCCTCCAAAGAGTGCCAAATGTATAAACATAGATCCAATAATTCTGGACTCTTGACCTTGAAAAATGCTGTCGGGTTTGGTAGCGATAGTTGAGTACCAAAGTGAACAGTTCTGCCATCACTTGTGGAAGGCTACTTCTGGCACTTTGCCATCATTTCCCGGTTCGCTGTCACTCCTATTTTATTAAAAAAGGAGTAGCTAATGGTAACATTCTATGTGGACCTCCCCTTGTCCTCTATATCAACGGATCTTTTGAAAACCAGCCAAATGTCTGAAATACTTGGTAATTTGGCAAATAATCCAATTTCAAAGCAAAATGCAATCTTGTGTGATTTATTGAATGATAACAAGCAAGGAATGATTGTTTCGGATACGTTCGGATGTAGCAAATTTTTACCAGTCCTAATAATTGAATTTTGAAAATTTCAGTTTTATTTCCTATTCTTCATTAATTAAGTACAAATTATGTCCCACTTATCAGATCGCTCTTAGAAAACACCGTTAGGGCACTCGTATCAACCTATTTATATTTTTCAGTCCATAATTCATCCTTATGGTAATATATACAGATACAATCAAGGAAATATGTAAATACCCCGAGCTATAAAACTAAAATAAATTCCAATTCTCCAGAGAGCTACACATAACAAAGAAAAATTTGTGTGTGGAAATAATTAGCATTACTTTTTTGCTACCGGATGAAATGAAAATAAATGTTTAAGTTATTTTTTTATCAGCGATTTTAAAATATAAAAATAAAATCTGCTTCTAAGCTTGGAAACTAAAACACATTGATTACATCCTCTTTTAGGACTTGCATACTTGATACTTGTGTCCTTAATCCTTGACCGACAATGTTGGATAGATTGCGTCAAATTAACATTACATACTATTTACATATTGTTTAAAACTAATATTTACAAACTTCTTGCAGAAAACCTTTAAAACACTTAAAACCTATTTATTTATTGGGCTGTGGCGATTTTATATCCTAACCTACTGGAGTGCTGTTTTTAGCTAACTTTCAGTGGCACTTCCTTTAGTTCCTCTAATGAATAGGGGGGTTGTTAACCAGATGGCCCTGCAGTACTGCCCTGAACTTCGCACTGTCCAACTCTCTCACTCTTTTTGGCAGCCTTAAAGATCTTGATTGCTGAGCGAGGGTAGCTTTTTAAGGAGTGGCTAAGCCTACACCGTGGCAGATCGAGGCCTCGGGCCTTCGAGTATTATGGCTATGCTGGTTTTCCCTCATTTCAAAACGGTGAAGGTTATTTTTCAGGAGTAGCAGACTACTAAGGACATATTGGCTGTTCACTGTTAGTATCCCTAACTCCCTGAAGAGAGGCCTGCAGTGCTCGTCGATGTCTGAGGATGTTATGATTCTTACAGCCTTTTCTGTAATAGGAGAATGTCCTGAGTTTGTGGTGCGTGTCCCCACACGTTGCCATTGGTGACATGGCTATGGAAAAGAGCGTGGTACACATTTAGTAGATAGGGCTTTGTGATGACGTAACGAAACTTCCTTAAAAGACATAGTACTCTGGAAAGTTTAGTACATACGTTGTCTATGTGTGTATTCCAACTTAGCTTGGGGTCCAGCCAAAACCCAAGAAGTTTCACGGCTTCGTATTTATGTATATCAAGCTTCAGGGTGCACAGCACCCAGGACAACGGGTGTCTGAGGAAATTCCACGCAAGGAGGTTCCTGTAATTTCTAAAAATTGGCAATGAATGAATAGGACAGTTTTTATGGTAAATTATACTCTAAAACAACTGATATAATCTATCTGTTTATTTTCAAGAATTTTGCATATGAACAAAAAAAGTGGCGAAATAAAACCCCAAAGATAAAGCGATATAAATGAATCATTCTTAATCATGCGGCAGGGTTTGTATGCTCATTGGTAATGCCGGCGCCAAACAATTTAAGGGCTTTTGTAAATAAGCTATGTTTGTGTAAAAAAACATCCGGCCTTCCAAAACCTGAACGAATTGGTATTAGTAAATGCACTTTCCATTAGTTTTTCTCAATTTGACGTGTTTGTGACCGTTTAACCTTCTGTTCGTTATTTTAAAACTTGCCTCTTTTAATACTACTCAAATAATCTCATTTTCCATTTACCACCACTGAAATTTTGTTATTTCTTTGTACACCAACCAATTAACATTACGAGTAAAGCCTAACAAAACGTTTAAGATGTTTTACTCTAATACACGCCTACTTTATAATAATGAATGAAATAACACTTTATTTAGACATTTTTATCTACACAGAGAAAACCCCTGGATGTACTATGGATTAGTACCCACATACCAAATTTCATCAAAATCGGGCAACAAGTGTAGTCTATGGCTCTGTGCACAGCCACACACCCACACACACAGATACGTTACTTTAGGGGGATTCTTGAGTTTTTAATTTACCATGTGTCAAAAATTAAACTCTCTAACAAACAAATGACCATCATTTTTAGCAAATTTCCCCCATAGGAAATAAGCAGTTACCGTAGGTCTCATGGTAAGAACTGGACTCGGGGACCGATTTTCTTTATAGTTTGGATTTATCGTTAAAATTTAATAAATGTATTTATTTCATACTACGCTTTTGATATTTCACTAAAAAAAACACACTTAACCACCCTCCCTCTAACAGCAAACCTGCAGGCCTGTTTTTCACCCTGTCAGCGCCCTAGGTACAACTAGTAGCGCCCCTTTGCAATATGCAGTGTGTCCACCGAGCACCGACGAGGAAATCCGGGAATTGTGCGTGAGTTTCTTTGAACCGGGAATTAGGAGTGAATTTTGTTTTCTCCATTGACATTTCTGTAACCGCGGGAGATGATTGTATGTCTACACACAGCCACGAGGCATGATCAGAATTTTGCCGCGATCCAAAAGACGGTTATGATGTATACAGAGCCTGCGAGAAAAAGTCAGAATTTTGCTGTGACCGCGGAAGACGATGATGATCTTCACACGACTACGAGTCGGGGGATATGATTAATATTTTGTCACAATCGCGGGATACGATCACGATCTCTACAGGACCGAGGGAGATACAATAATGATATCTTCACGGCTGCGAGGGATTATCAGTTGTACCTTAGTCTATGGTTGTACTAAGTATCAATAGCTTAGTATAAAATAAATAAATTTGCCAAGTTTGATAAAAATATATCCATAAACAAGCAAACTACAACATTTTACTAAATTCTCCATAAGAATAACATGGGAATTTTAAATTTACAATTTGTTTTATTTTCTCCGTTACCAATAAACGTATAAAAACACTTTGATATACTAAATTATTTATTTTTTAAGCTCTTAAAAAGGTCTAGAGAGAAATTGGGAAATTTTGTGTTTTGATTGTCAACAATGAGAAAAGCCAATTTTTACCCCATAAAACCCCCCTGTAAAACCCCGTTCACATGGTCCAATCATGCTGGTTCGCGAACTAATTCAAGTTTATCCCGCCTTACACGTTTAAACTAAATTTCATCAAAATCGGACAAGGATTACTCAAGTTATCGTGTTCACAAACACATACATATACACACACATACATATGTAAAAATTTGAACGAATGGTGTTTTTGGCCTCTGGGGACATCAAAATAAAAAAGTAAATCGGTCCCGGGCCTAGGTCTTACCATGCCACCTACAGTAATAGCTACTTCCCGTACTTTACGTACTTACGTAGCTACTTTACGTTCAATTGTATATAGTCTGCGCTAAATATTTACCATATATAGGGAACTAGCAGCTAACCCCTTCTTTTTGCTACTGGGTAAAGAGTAACAAAAAAACATCCTTCAAACATCCAAACATCTTATCATATATTTTTTCCATAAAACGTTTATCTCTTTGTCTTGAAATATATTTACTGATTTGTATTTTTTGTAAACCTAACCTAACCTAACCTCACCTAACCCAACCTAACCGTTTACCGTACTAACTACGTTTAACAACATTTCAATGGGAGGGAGGACGTCAGGGATCTTTGACCGCCGGTGCAACTGGGCATCACCCTAAAATGACCATCGGTGCAACTGGGCATTCGAGATTAGGGCCACCCCTGACCATCGGTGCAACTGAGCAACTGCCGATTCCAAGTCGTACTCTTGGCTCAACACTTATAAAAAATTAAATATAAACAAGGTTTCGCACGATCAGGATATTAAGGACTACTAAACATATTCGATTTTGTCATAGATGTAAGAATAAGGAATTCATATTGCTACCTCAAAGACATTATTTCTGCTAACTACAATTACTTGAAACATTATTTCAAGGAGAATTATTGGTGGGATATTTTGGCTAGAAATGTTGGCAATAAATTGGTTTATGTTTCATAAAATTCCATTGCAATCTAGAGTTATTAGTAGTTATTATGCTATTTGAGTTATCGTATTTATATTATTATTCAACCTTTCTTTCTGTTTCAGCTGTTGATGAACCAAGAGAAAAGTATGTAAAGCATTGATTTTAAGCGTTGGTTGAAAACTAAAAATGCATGAATATAATGTGTGTCAATAACTTACTGTACGACTATAACCATAAGTTATTTTTTTAATGTCAATAGTTTTTTTAGTCTTGTTGCAAATGAACTATTTTTTTAACCACTCCGTACAGAAAGAAGCTATTGTCTGAAGCTATAACAGCTTAAATCATAGACAATAATCAATTGTTTCCCAAGCTTTAATTCAGAGCAAGTAGAAACCGACCAGCTGATTTTTCCTAGTTCTCAATGATTTCTCTGATTTAAATCAGCTGTTTTAATGTTCAACAATGTAAATGTAAACAGGAATAGACATAAGCTTGTGTTACTTTGTTTTAACACAGTGTGTGATTACTGCACAGTAAAATAACCAAGAACTTAAAATTTTACGTAGCCAGGTAGGTTTTTTATAACTCATTTGCTTTATTTTCATATTTTAAAAGTGTTGATTAGGAAATATAATAGTTTTAATTTTACTGAGGTCTGTTATTCAGTATGTGAGTAATTTTTCGTCTTTTCGTCGTTATGAAAAGTATCGTTCATAATTGGTACAGAAAGTAATTTTCCGGCACTTGCTCCAATTATTCTCGTCCTTGGCTTCTCGTTCGTGAAACTCGGCTTTGCCTCACACATGAAACTTGAACGTGCGCCTGAAAAATGCAACCTTCGGTTCCTGCTAAATAGCAGTAAATACAGTGCAGTGAATTAATAATTTCTTGTAAAATGTATAAATTCATTTTCTCCACATCAATCTACTTTTGCAGTTTGTGAAAGTTACTAATACATTGATTACTTTAATGCCATTACAAATTATGACCGTACCTTTGCTTGATTAATGGTTTTAATGGGCATGTATCGCCGTGCTAAAATGGATTAACTCTTTATGCCTCTTTGAAACATTCATAGAGTTGTGTGTTTATAAAATAGGTCCGTATTTTGTTGTACACCCCGACAAAATAATTTATGGGGTGGTTTTTATTGTTTTTTTTTGTAGTGTTTTCAACAGTTTATTATATGTATTTCTTTTCCTTAAAATTAGATTTATACTGTACAAGTTTGTGGTGACAATGTGTCTCGTTTTGTAGTCTGTGGAATTTTCTCGTTTGTAGATTGTGAATTGTTGGTGTGATGATGGTAGTGGCAATGACAGCGAAAAGAAAACAAGGCAGAGGCAAATTTGAATTTGCCAAAGCTTTATAGTCGCAAAAAAAGAAGAAATTCCCTTTGGAAAAGGACTCATTCTCATTTTGTACTTAGAAATATTCCGCGATTGATTGTGTATTTTAAACTCTGGCAAGTGCGTAGTTTGGAATTAGTTTACACATAATGTTTTTCTATTAAGGTGTTATACATTTATTCCATAATATGTTTCAAATGCATCATCACATTCACAGCTGTAGCGATCGAGCCTTTCTGTTTTGTCTAAACCTGCAACACATTATGGGCGCTGAACTCTTACAATAGTACAGTAGTTTGAGAATTAAAAAATATATCATATGATATACTATCAACAGTTTTTTTTTTCAATCCAGTTGAAGTAAAGTACATATTTTATTCATTGATCGCATACTATGCTTAATATTTACAGGCTAGTTTTATGTCTGCAAAATTTAAGAAAACTGGAAATATTCAGATGTTTTATGTGAGGAATTCATAAAATAAATAAGGTTATGATTGACCTTTTGGTAACTTTTGTTCCTTTCAAAAATTGTATCACACTGTACATGTTGTGGTATTCGTAGTAATTCCCTACTACACCGTATACTTTAGTACTAGAACCGAGAGGAGAGTACAACACAGAAAAACAACCCATACAATCTAAGGACTTTTATCGACACCGTACTACTATTTCTGTCCAAATGATCACAAAATTGGGGAAAGGCGTTAATAAAGTAACAAAAACCTCCAATAAACTTTAAAAAGTCATGTTTAACTGTGTCTACTACAGTCCGATTAACTTCTTTATATGCCTACCTTTAAATTTGAACTGTATACCTCTAAGTTTGAAATCAAACGCTTTTGTAGCCTGTGTAGGAGATTTAAAAAACTTATTCACAAAGATTTACTTAGGCCCATTACCCCCGCCGCAACAAACCTGCATTTGTTCTATGCTATACTACTAGTATTACTAAAGAATACTAAAAAGCAAATTAAATTTGTCTGATGGGATTTATACTAAAATATTTTTATAATCAAGTCAAAGTCATTTTGTGGGTTCCCTATTTAAACCTTATTTGATATAATGGTGATATTTTAAAAGTAACCATATAACTCAAGTAATTCATTAATATTGATTCACTATTTGATTTAACATTAGATTTGACGAGTACTTAGGTTTGCTGTTACGGGGTAGGTAAAATGTATTTATTTTATTGAATTTCAATACTAACTAGGATGAAATCAAAAATGTATTATAATATATGATATATATAGCAAAAACAAGCAAACTACACATTTTTCAATTGTCCATAAGAATAACAAGGATGAAAGTTTAAATGTACATTTTTGGAATTTTCTCACCTACAGTGACTTGAAATTAATTTAAAGAACTTGAATTATTTGATTTTTAACTTTGTTTTTATTGCCTGAGTTCATGTAGAATCAGCGGAACTAATTTTACTGGACAGTGGGCACAATGAACTCGAGCAAAATCCTTTAAAGTGTTGTTTTTTTCAAAAGTGCTTTATGAACGACCTAGTTTTGCCATTAAATATGGTTTGGTTTACTTATATTTTTCCACACTAAACTTCAATCCAAATAAATACTTAACCTCGTAACCTAATAAGGACAGTAAGGAATAAGCACTTATAAACATTGAGAAAATCTGTATACAGTTAACATGGATTTGTTATTATTTATATTATGAATTTAATACTGGGAACATTTTTATTTTTCATTGAAATCAAAACAACAAATCAACATAACATATAACTCCTTAAAATGGGGAGATTGTTTTACAAAATTAATTAGTTTAAAGCGTGGGACCCCTGCATTTTATTGTCCCCTTCTTAGCAGTCCAGGGAAGAAATTTTAGTTATGGAAAATAGAAGGAATACCAGCTAAAATGTCATCACTCATAAATTCGAACGAAGTAGCTGGAAAAATGATACATGGATGGATGGAAAAATGATGTATGGATGTACAGTCAGATACAGGGGATTTAAGTGGGTCAACTGAAGCTCTTCACAAACATCGCTTGGCAATAAAATTCTCCGGTTAGAAAGTACGGTATATAGTGCAGTGCAGTAGCCTAAGCATAAGTACAAAGATTCAGCTGACAGCAGTCACAGAGCAATCCCAGGAAACCAAGGGTAGATGCACGTAAACTCAAAACTTCATCAAAATTAACCCATTGAAAAAAAAGAGTTAAAAGGGAATCGCGTTCAGACGTGGATCGTGAATCTCGTGGTGAAAATTTAGTTTATCAAATCAAATCAATCTTTTATTTGCACAAAACATTTACATGATTACACATTGTAACCTTAAATAGGTGCATCGTCAATACAACCCAGACAGCACACTTTATCCCAGGGACATCCCATAGTAGTCCCATATGTCCTGAGAATGTCTCGGGATATGTGCGCTATCCTCAGGATATCCCGTAAAATCCCGGGACGAGTACGAAATCCACAGGATATCCTACAATATACCGTAATGTCCCGGGATTTGTAAGTTAACCTCAGGATATCCTGTAAAGTCCCGGGATATGTACGAATGCCATAGGATATCCCAGAATGTCCCATGACATCCCGGGACATGTAAAAAATCCACTGGAAGGATGGATATCCAGTAATGTCCCGTAATGTCCCGGTAACAAACTGAAGAAAAAAATACTACCACTGATGAAATGTACAGTATATCTAAATTTAAATGTTCAACAAGGCCAATATATAATAATTTGTTTTTTTCACTAGTGCTTTCAGAAACTTGGTTTCCATCTTCAGGCTGTGTTTACACTAGTATACAAAGTAAATATTTACTTAATAAATTAATTTTAAACAAAGTTAAAACAGATGATTTAAAGGATATTGGAAAAATAAAAAATAATATTAGAAAAATTAATCTTTTGAATTTTGGATATGTTACAGTGTTGTTCTTGATGTAATTATTTTCAGTAATTCCGAATTTATAATTGGGCCGTCTTCATTATTTAACAAATAATTTTGGTCTGTTTTTTTTTTTCTAAAAATAAGATTCCCACGCATTAAGATGTTGAGGTTTTATAATTTATTTTAAAAGTTTAAGGTTTCCCAGATTGAAAATATGTCTTGTTAATACTATAGCTAGCAAGGGTTGACTTTACTTTACTGACATATTACTACCACTGAGTTCAGGAAAACTAGAGTTCTATCATAGTTGTGGGAAATGTGAATTTAATTCTAACTTTAAATTAATAAAACAACAAAAAACTAATTTTAATCATATAACAATCAATTATTACAGTGCTAATCTAATGGTGATTAAATAATCTATATTCAAATACCAGTATCCTCTCCAACTACCAGAAAAACAATTCAACTACTTGAGGCCTAAACAGATTAACAGAATCATATATATAGCATAGATGAAGTACTTCATCTATGTATATAGCCTATACTGTAGTATCAAAAATATTTTAAGTATTGCGACCATTGCAACTGTCGGCTACTCTTTAACCACTTGAAAACACCCATAATCAACAAGCGCAGATAGCTCAGGAGGTAAGGTAAGAGGCTCACAAGGCGAAGGTACCAGGTTCGAAACCCGTCTGGGCCAAAAACTTTTTCTCGTTTTTCTCTTCAAAATTTGTGTTTATTAACTATTTAATCAATTTACTAAACCTATAATTAAGCTTTTCATACTAAATCTATATTATTTTGTGTTTTTTATGTTCAGGCCCAGACCACACTTTATCCCAGGGACATCCCATAGTAGTCCCATATGTCCTGAGAATGTCCTGAGGACTACCCTGGGATGACCTCGGATGTCC